AGTTGCAAAGCAGCTTAATCCATTCATTAAGCAATGGGTCTTCTATTGGCCTCTACTAGCTTGATTCTAACCATTGTGTGTATTTTAAATGTATAAAAGTATGTTTTCAAGAATTAGTCAATAAATCAGATGTTTCTCTACATCTAAATGCCTCTAGGAAGTTTGAATTAATGATGTGTCTCTTGACAAAAATAAGGAAAATCTAAGGATAGAAACAGTTAAGATTCTATTGGCTATTTCACAAGTCATTCTCATACCTATGATATCACTTCAAATTGAGATTGTGTGTTCTATCTGGCTAAAGTCTTTTAAACTATATCTTTTTGATCAACTGACATACCTTTCATATACCATAAAATTCACCTGTTTTCAGTGTAGAATTCAATTAATTTTAGTATATTTACAAGGATAAACCATTAATTACCACTAAGATATTTCCATCACCCCAAGAAGAAATTTCATTCCCATTTATAGTCACTCATCATTCCCACTCCCAATCCTAGGCACCACTAATCTGCCTTCTGTCTCAGTATATTTGCCCTCTTTTGGACATTTTATATCTTAAGCATAATGCTTTTAAGGTTCATCCATGCTGTTAACCTATATATTTTACAACCAACATATATGGTTGTTCTGTATGTTGTCTACTAATCATCTTATTTCAGTTTCAGGGTAAAATTTTTGTTATGTACAATATTAAATAAAGCCATTTAAAGACTTAAAGAATCACATACATAAAACCTAAATGGACATTCCTAATAAAAATCTTTTTTATACAACTTTTATTATTTGCCAATTATAAAAATAATAGGTTCAGCATATTAAAATACTGAAAATAGAGAACTACATATTAGGATGTAAAGGCATCCCTTTATTTAAATTTCTTAGCCTCTCTGTGAGGCGGAAGGTTTTTTTCTAAATATTTAATTCACTAATTCATATTCTTGTGAATGAATTAATCTGTTTACTCTTTCTATACAGGTTTTGCCCACTCTTTCTATAAATGTTTTATTATTATTATCATTATTATTATTATTATATATGAACTCATTTCCCTTTTCTAGTTATATTGCTGGTAAATACTGTCCCCAGTTTTGAAATTTGCCTTTTAGTTTTGTTTATTGTTTTTCTTGGCATCCAGAAGTTTTACCTTTTTAAGTAGTCAAATTTGTCTATTTTTATCTTTGTCATTTCTTCCATTATCTTTATGCCTAGGAAGTGCTTCTTCTTCTTTTTTTTTTTTTTAAGATTTTATTTCTTTATTTGACAGAGATAGAAACAGTGAGAAAGGGAACACAAGCAGGGGGAGTGGGAGAGGGAGAAGCAGGCTTCCTGCTGAGCTGGGAGCCCAATGTGTAGCTCCATCCCAGGACCCTGGGATCATGTGACCTGAGCTGAAGGCAAAGGCTTAAGGACTGAGCCACGCAGGCGCCCCCTAGGAAATGCTTCTATGAAGAAAACTAAAACAGGGTTAGAAGACAGGGTGTGGTAGGATGTCAGTGCATACAGGGTGGTCCGAAAAGGTCTCACTGATAAGATGACATTTGAGCAGAGGCCTAAAGGAAGAGAAAGAAAAGCCACGTAAGCCATAGAGAAAAACATTTCAAGTGTTGAATTTTAACATTTTTCTGCATCTATTGATCCTTTTATCTCTTAATATTTTTGGATTAAACTGACAGATATTGGGATAAACCTACTTGTTCACGATGTGTTTTTGTTGTTATTATTTGGGTTGGGGGGTTATGATCTATTTTTTATTTTTACTTTAATAAGAAACTAAGGAACAGAAAAGTAATTTACCCAAAGTTACATAGATTAGAACCCAGGCCATTTCACTCCAGTGTCTGAGTATTATCCACTGTGCCATAATCATTTTTTGTCTTAATCCACTTGGCTATAATCATTTAATCTCATGCCAGTGAGATGGTAAAAACACATATTAAATTTGCCATCTTAACCATTTTTAAGGTTCAGTAGTGTTACGTATATTCACGTTGTTGTGCAGCAGATCTTTAGAACATGTTCATCTTGCAAACTGAAATCTATACCCACTAAACACTAATTCTGCTACCCTCTTCTTCCCAGCTCTTGGTAACCACTTTTCTATTCTCTGTTTGATTTTGACTACTTTAGACATTCAAATGTGTGGAATCATACAGTATTCTTTTGTGACTGGCTTATTTCACTTAGGATAACATCCTCAAGATTCATCCATGTTGTAGTGTGTGTGACAAGATTTCCCTCCTTTTTTCTTTTTAAGGCTGCATAATATTCCCTTACAGGTATATTCCACATTTTCTTTATTCACTCATCTGTTGATGGGTATTGGGGTTGCTTCCTTCTCTTGAATATTGTAAATAATGCTACAATGAACATGGGCGTGCAAATATCTCTTTAATAAGATCTTCTTTGAATTCTTTTGGATACATACCTAGAAGTGAGATAGCTAGATCATATGGTAATTCTATTTTTAGTTTTTTTAAGAACTATTTTCCATAATATCTGTACCATTAATCATACTGTATTTGTAATACATTTGGATATGATTTGTTAGTACTTAATTTAGAAATTTTGGACCTAAATTTAGAAGTGAGCTAAGCTCATAAATTACCATAAATTGCCAATTTCCATAAATTGCCTTGTCTGGATTATTTCCAAAAATGAGGTTTTGGTTTTGTTAATAATCTGTATTTTTATTATTTTTCTATTTCCTTACTTTCCATTTTTAATTTCATTATTTTCTTTTTCAACTTTGTTTTTTCCTACCTTTTTGAGATGCACATGTAACTCAATTATTTTCAATCTGTCTTATATTTTAAATTCATTTACATACATTCATTTTATTCTAATTAATACTAATTACCATTACCTTTCCAATTACCCTTCTAATTATAATTTCCATTGTGGTTTCCTCTTGAACCCATGAGTTATTTAGGAAAGTATTTGATTTATTTTAGTTTGTGACCCTGAATTCCATTGTACAGATAAAGAAACTAAAGTCCAGGAAAATTAAATGTCTTACTCAAAATTGTATAGCTATTGCATGGGCTGAAATTAAGTCTCCTGATTAACACTCCATTTTACCTTTCCAATTTCTTAATTCGTATTCTTACCCTATAAGAAAGTTTCCTAAAATTAAACCAATATTGTCATTAACTTATATTACACCAAGAATCCAATTTTTACTAGCCTTATACATTTTAAAAATATTTGCCTAGGGGTGCCTCGGTGGCTCAGTTGTTAAGCATCTGCCTTCAGCTCAGGTCATGACCCCCGGATCCTGGGATGGAGCCCCGCATCGAGCCCTGCATCGGGCTCCCTGCTCCATGGGAAGCCTGCTTCTCCCTCTCCCACTCCCCCTGCTTGTGTTCCCTCTCTCGCTGTGTCTCTCTCTGTCAAATAAATAAAATCTTTAAAAAGAAAAAATATATTTGCCTAAACCTTTTTGTAAATATACTGGACATTGTCTCTTTGATTTTCTTATCCAGCTAGGATTTACTAATTTCTAGCCATATCATTTGGCATAGTGCTTAGCACATATTAGGCTCTCAATAAAAAATTTATTGAGGGAATTTTTGTTTAATGAATGTTTAAAGAATATTATTAGTGCCACCTATGAGCTTTATTAAACATCAAATGACAAGTACTGAGATGAAAGAATCTTTCTGGCTTATCATAGCACAAATTCGGGGGATTAATGATAAAGAGGAAATGAACAAGAAACCAGAATCACTGTTGAAATGAGCTACAACTCCATGGTCAAAAAAAGTGGGGGTGCGGGGGACTAAACTATGTGGAAAAATAGAAATGAAGTATAAATAACAATAACCAACTTTCATTTAATATCCCATATGAAAAAAGAGTTTATTATCTCCACTATATAAAGGGGGAAAGGGAACCCCAGACAGTTTGAGTCACTTGCCCCAGTGACACAGCTAGAAGTGATAACCCTTGGACTGGAAGGCAGCTTCTGTCTGAGCCTCAGGCCCATTATCTTTGAATAAGCCACAGTCTTCTCCAGGGCCAGGTCCTCCCAGCTCTAGCCAACCCCTTGGCTGTAATTGGGAAGAGGGAGATAGCTCAGAAACAAAGGGAGGGAGGGGCTGTGGTATCAGGATCAATCTCCAGTGAACACAAAATACTTGCTAGAGGTCAAATACTACCACATTTTTTTCTTGTCCTTGAGAATAATCTTTAGCAGGGGTGGGGAGGAATTAGACAGTTCTGCCTTTAACATCCTGTCTACCTCTTTTTCTAACTCTTCACAGTGCCTCACAAGGGGAATCTAATGTCAGAACCTGCAATGTCATGTTAAGAATATTATTCTTACAATTAAGGAGCTCCTTTTTGCATGTTTTCTCTAGGCTTCTCTTTAAAATGTAGGCATTTCCCTCTTATTATTTAATAAAACTAAATCTTATCAATATAATATGATGCTGCACAATAGCAATCATTTTCTTGGTATTTAAATATTATATGTTATGCATTTACTAATAACTATCTTTTTGTTATTTTATACATTTATCAAAGCAGCTTCATTCCTTATGTACCAGTTCCTAATTTTTTCCTTGAACACTCTCCTCCATAACGTTTAGGATCTACAAATTGGTAATTAGAACAATCATTCCTCCATCTTCAACTTTTAGATTGTTTCCTTTTTTCCCCTTCAGTTTTGTGGTTTCTCCTTGGTCTCTGTAATCATTATTTTTTATATCATAGATGGTATGTGGCGATTACAAAGAACGTTTTTATAACATGGAGAAATGCTCACATACAAAGTTAAAAAAAAAAGAAGTAAAGCAGGATTCAAAGTTGCATGTACAGTGTGTGTGACCCCCAAATAAATGAACATTTATATGTTTTATTTAGATTAAAATTTTAAAAACTATACCAAAATATTGACAGTGATCACTCTGGGTGGTGAGATTATAAGCAATTTAAAAAAAAATCCTGTGTCCTTTTCATGTTTCCTATAATGGGTATGTATTATCTTTTGCCAGACCTGGGTCGGAGCCCAAAATTGGAACTGAGGCCAAAGGGGCAGTCTTGCTGAGGACCCCTGCTGCTGCCAAGGACTGTCCATCCACAGGAAGACTTCCCTTGACAGCCCCGTCCTGAGGCAACTGGTTCTGGTGGGCAGCTGGTAGGTATGTGTGGAGTGCACGAGGTGTGGGAGTGTGTGGCAGGAAGGAGAAATCCAAGGGAAAGGTCTGACAGTCTGACTTCTCTGGGTAGAGACCAGACCTCTCTGAGTCTGTGGTTAAAAGCAAATCTCACTTGGACTAGAATGGAAATAACATCTGGATCCAGATGAAAGCTGACTATCTAGTATCTATATTGTCCAATTCACTCTCCAGCTGGAGATTCATTTCCCTGAACAGAGATATTTGAACAAGTTCTGGTCTTTTAATTCAGATTAATAGTGTAATATTTAATATATTTTCCAGCATCCCTTTGTCTCAATTTTCTTAAATCATTAAGGGCCTAATAATAATATTCTCCCACTATCTCATTAAAGTGTCATGAAGATTTAGGAATAAATATCTCCTGTTTACTTTGCCACTTAGAATACAGCTCTTTACCACAAATTATGTTGCCTTTCTAGGTTAGAAAGCTGTGGTGGGGGGAAGGGTGCATACCCTTTACTTTCCCTTTCAACTCTCCAGACTTTATTCCATTATTCTTCTTTCTGGGAAATGAGACAGAAGAACTGAAGTCCTGTCATCTTAAAAGGTTTGCTTAATGACCATCCCATGTGAACATAGGCAGTGTCAGCTGAGAAGCATGACTGCTGCAACCATATAGGCCCACAAGACTGACTCATTTATCAAATATTAAAGAGTCATTTCATAGAATGACTTTTCCAGTCACTTTTCAATAGGATTGAAGCCTGAGCAATTATAAGAAAAGCAAAGAACCCTGAGGTTTTTTTACTGAAGGGGTCAGTCATCTAACCATTTGGGAGACCTGACATAATAACCTATGTGATTTTCCCCCCCAAGCTAAATTTTCACACAGAGCAGAAAAATATACCATTTTCCATGGCAAATAAACATAAAGAGAAGACATTTTCAAGGGGCTATTTTCTAAGAGTTAATATCTAGAGCTCAGTTCTTCTCCATTGATCATATTCCCTCATTTACAGACTCGGGCTTCCCATGAGTTGTTAGATTAATAGACTGAACAACTGACTAATGTTGAGATGATAGAGTTCTTTTTTTTGTTTGTTTGTTTTTTTGTTTTGCTTTTGTTTTTTTTTTAAAGATTTTATTTATTTGAGAGAGAGAGAATGACAGATAGAAAGCACGAGAGGGAAGAGGGTCAGAGGGAGAAGCAGACTCCCTGCCGAGCAGGGAGCCCGATGTGGGACTCGATCCCGGGACTCCGGGATCATGACCTGAGCCGAAGGCAGTCGCTCAACCAACTGAGCCACCCAGGCACCCGAGATGATAGAGTTCTGATAATATATCATTCTTGCATGATCCCCCTTATCATGTCTAAACTGACGATTTAGTTTGGCACAACATAGGACTCCACACATCAATTGCCAGAATATAATATTAATGTAAGATATTTATAAGGTGGAGAGATTAGGACTGAGAACAAGGTAATAGTTAAGGTCTACATTATATACTGTGCATCCTTTTTATTTATACTCATGGCATCTGCTGTTTGTACATTGCTAACAATACCGTGCCTTTCATATGAATGGCTTGAGGAGAGAGCAATGGATTTGTGCTGCTGGAGCAATGTGGGATTGTCTTCTGACCATCAAACTAAGACCTAATAAAACCAGCATCCCTAGCAGGATTAGGACTGAATTCTAATTCAGCCTTCTATCTTGAATTGCTCACCCACCAACACAGAACTGATATAAGTGGGCTGCTCTGAAAGTCTGGCCGGCTCACCAGTTATTGGCAGCAAGCCATTCTCTATGGAGATGTTTGTTTGATGTTTAAAACATGCAAACTTAGCATCTTTGGTAAAGTAGAACAATAACCGTTCCTTATTCAACATAAACGATGATCCTTTTATGACAAAAAAAAGTCAATAAAAATCTCAGTTTGAAACCAGACTTTTTCCCAACATGATAAGAGTTCAATTATTTTCTCACTTAAGCTTTGGGAGTGCTTCTCTCTTTTTGGACAGTTTTGTATCTCCTTTCCAGTACAGATGTCTATTGCCTTCAAGGCTTTCAAAGAGAATTTAATCCTTGGCAGTGAAAAGAAAGAATCCCATGGGGCAAATCAGGGGGGGAGGAAGGAGGGACTAGCCAAGCTGAAGGAGGTTGATTTGAATGGAAAAATCCTTTAGTCATGCCAAAGATGTGAAATTATCAAAGACACAAAGATCTTGTAAAGTAAAAACTGAGGTAAACCTCTGCCTTTCAGGAAACACATACTTTTTCAGTAACCCAAATTGTGATGTCAATCCTACAATAGATTATCCTTGAAAAAGAATATTACTCTCACCTATTGGAAACCCTCTGCTACTTTATAGAGTGAGTATATTTGCTCCTAGAGTTCTAAGATGATTGAACACTAATTTGTACTTTGCTTCAGATTTAAACTAGGTTTGTCCCCAGTACCTAGTGTTTTAGGAACTGAGAACAGATTCTCAATGGATCTCATCCCAGATCTTAATTTCAGCATTTATTTCCACCTACCTTCTTCCTTGACTGTATCAACTTGTGTTCTTTGATTGCAAACAACAGTAGCTGCCTCTGGTAAACCTAAGGAAGAAAGAAATTTATTGGGAAAACTGGGGAAGCTCCAGATTGAGAAGAGGAGGCTGAAGACCCAATGGTGGAAAGGACAGACCTAAACAGCTCACATGAGTCTCCACAGCATGAACTTCTCAATAGCTGCATCTGAAACAAAGGATTCTGATTCCAGGAAGACAGCATTTGACTGGTTTAGCTAGGTTCAACTCTTTGCTCAGGGGCTGGGGGAAGGCAGGGTCTCTGAACAACAGTCCCACCAGATGGTATCCAAAAGTGAGGATGGAATTACCAAAAAATAAATGGGGATGCTATTACGGAAAGAATGGGGACTGAAAGCTGAGTAGCTAAAGGAGGTAAACCCAAAACAACAACCAAACAAATGGGTGCCATTCCTTTCCTCTCCACTTCACTGTTTTGTATGTTTTCTGCCCTCTTGTATATATTTCCCTCTCTTCTTTTTTCCTCTGTATCTTCTGCCTTTCTTGCCTTTTCCTTACCCTTTAAAGTTTATCTAGTATCGTGGCTGAAACTTTTGTCATTATTTCTGCTTTTTCCTAGAGATCCTAATATCAAAATTGTATCACCTAAACAACTGATCCTTGTGGGCAATTAGTGTTAGCGGAGTAAGAAAATATCCACATTGTTTGATTTTTGAAGACATTTTCCTGAGTCTATCCTTTCTAAACCAGCAACTCCCATAACTGCCTACCATTATGCCTATAATCTAATTGTTATAACTGAATTCCTCTAATTAAAACAAGGAGACTTAAGGAATTTGTCACTTAAAGGATAATAATCTACTATTTACTGTTTCCATCTTATCATGAAATCGGTCAAGCTGTTATCAAAGGAAGCCTGGGAACAGCCCACCTAGCTGACATAAATGTGCCAGAGTAAAATGAACCTTTACAATGGAGACAGAGGTTATAGGTCAGACCTCAGATCCACCTCTTTCTAGCTTTGTGACTTAGTTTAATCATTTATCTTCTTCAAGTTTCATTTACCTCATCTGTGAAAGGGAATATAATTCTTGCCACATTTGGCTATTACGAAAAATCAATAAAATTATATTTGTAAAATACTTACTGTACTACCTGGCATATAATAGATGTGCGGTAAGGTTAAATTCCTCCTTCTTCCAACAAATATGTAATGAACACCTACTATGCCCCACATGCCATGCTAGATGCTAGGCACAGGAGCAAAACAGACATGCTTCCTACCGCTTGAAGGTTACTTTCTAGTGGAAAAGACACACATTAAGCAAAATCCAGTATAGAAAGTATTGGTACCAAGAAACACATTAATTAGAGGTTCACAGACAATGGCTGCTATAGACTCAATGTTGTGTCCCCCCAAAATTCATCTATTGAAACCTAATCCCCAATGGTATTTGTATGGTATTTGGAGGTGGGATGTTTAGGAGGTGATTAGGTCATGAAGGTGTACCCCTCATGAATGAGATTAGTGCCCTTATAAAAGAGCCCCCAGAGACATCTGTTATCCTTTCTCCTACGGAAGGACATAGCAAAGAGATGACCATCTATGACGCAGAAAACAGATCCTCCTCAGACACTGAATCTTCCGTATCAGGATCTTGGGCTTCCTAGCCTCCAGAACTATGAGAAATAAAACTATGCTGTTTATAAGCCACCTAGTCTGTTATTTTGTTATAGCAGCCCAAATGGGCTAAGACAGTGGCACTCACACTACATAAATCAATTATAGATATGGACTAATTAAGAGAAGCATTCACATTCAGTAGACCAGAGTAAACTCACTGAAGATGTGTGATTGACAAGTCTGGGTGTTAAGGGGAAAATTTCCCATCTCTAATTTTGCCAAAAAAGATTTTATTAAAGAAATAATATTTCTATGTTTGCATAAGAAAAAGAAGACAAGTTGTTTTACTTGGTAGAGAAGTTTCAATTGTAGGATTTTGCATGGAGAATCTTTGGAAGCTTGAAATGGTGTATTTTAATGATGTAAGTATTGAATGAATTAGTAATGAGCAGTAGTTGAGGTGATCAAGATCAAGAAAAAGAGAGAATCCAAGAAATTTTAGGGGAAAATGTGCTTAGTGTTTGTAGCAGAGATTGCTAAATGCATACCAGTGTCTTATTTCCCCTTCATTACTAAAAGTACTCCAATTTTTTAGCTTAGCCCACTGCTTCTTAGCTAAAAGTCTGCATTTCTGGGTTGCCCTTGTAGCTAGGTGAAGCCACATGCCTGGCTAGGTGATCAGAAGAAAGCAGAGATGTTATGTCTTCTGAAAAGTCTTCTAAAATGGAGGGGCACTCTTTTACTTCCCTCTTCCTCCTTACGGCTACTATCAGGAACTTTAGCACCATCTTAGGCCATAGATGAACCTTGGGAATGGAAACCATGCAGAGTAATGCAACAAGACAAAAAAAAAGCCTGGGT